GCTGAATACTGGTTCCGTTTCACATGATGAGCACATTTAAGGTCCAAACCAATGTAAAAATACCTCTGTAACACGCTACATTTATGGATTACGTTTCCCGAATGAAAGTTTATACTGCATAGGCATTCAGGCAGCATTCCTTCATGCATCAACAGCCTCAGAACAAAAACCTAAAAATATTTAAAGTAACACCAAAATTATAATAAGTTGTTGTATTTTTTTCGAGACACGCGAAGCGGAGTGTGAATTCGCCGCTCTGTCCTGCTTGATTCGATTGTCCTTTTCTCCGCTTTTCAGCTCGCCTTATGGACATCGACGTTATAGCTGCAGAGTATTATCGTCCTCGTTATCATTAGAAAATTTATTTTAAAGTCATCTTTATTGTTTGTTGTCGACATTTTGTAATCTTAATCGTAATAAAAAGTTAAATCAAAAATAAAAGAAGACAGTTTTGCCTCGACCGGTAATTCATGTTCATTCACAGTTGTAAGCGCAGTGTTATAGTATAAGTATGTTCTACTCTTCTTAATTATCTAACAGAACACAATGAACGACATATGGTGAACAACAATTACGCGTGACATTTACTTGTGACTGTTACATTAATTTTAGGCCACGTTAATAACCAGTAGAGACTTTATCTTGCACAGTTCTTAGTGTGCGTGATGAGAGACGAATTTTGGAGTTTATCTAAAGGGCAATGCTTTAAAGCTTTGTGATGGAAATGTGTACACCAACACACACTGAAAGGTACATATAGAGGTTAAAAACCTCTAGATATCAATTAATTTTTCGTTCGAGAGGAGCTAATTGGCATAATTCATCTCTATTGATCATATGGCAATGCTGTCTTGGTGACATCTACCATAATCAGGGATGACAGCCAAGTAATGAAGGACGACCTCATAGCTCACAGCGCATGTAGGCAGAGCATCATATAATTACTCGACTGTCTGTTCACATTTTAACATTACATACAGTATGTATTTGCTCGTGGTTATCTATTTCTCTACAACTGTATCTATTTTATTATTTATTTTTTATAAGTGATTAAGCAGCCAATCTATAAATTTCCGACTTTGTCAGTTTAACATTTTTGCATAATTTCATTAAGCATATTTTTCTTCCATCGCATCAAAGCCTTCTCTGCAAAATTTGATCATGAATTGTATTGTATTTATATAGAGTAAAAATGCAGAAGGGTAGAAAATATTACTATGCAGGTAGTAGGCATGCATCGTATACATACTCAGTGGTAATAATTCAGTGGTAAGAATGGATGTGCAATTCATGTTAATAAATAAATGTAATATAAAACCCTGCATTGCCCCTGAAATCACACATGACATAGCGTTATTTCTTTCTCATAGGACTTATTAAAGCAAATGCTGTCACAGATATCAAATAGGCCCTATGTCTTGATCAAACGGGTAGTCTTTTCTTCCTAATAGAGAGGTTTTAGATATCAAACATGTATGGACTATTTACCAACAAGAAAATTTGGAAGAATTAACACAACAATAACTTATCATTGTCATTTGAAAGTTTTTTTTAATACCAGCAACGCAGAAAAAAGACTAGCGTCAGTGAGCAGTCTACATATTCATTGCTGTAGTTGTGCTCTATCAGATTGTGCCGGGTGTGCTACAATGTAGTGTTCATTGCAGTGGCTTCGATATCAGGAGACGGTCAGCCCAAGAGTCGGTCAGCGATATCTGTCCAATAGCAAATACGTATACAACAAATACTTATAAGACTGCTTGTTATCACAGTTTCAATCAATACGTGAAACCCTCTGGAGAACAGCCCACAAGTAAACCGGTAAAATTGTTAAAATAGAAAACGATAAACCACGTTCAAGGGAACTTCTTAAATGCAAATCAACACAAAATATCACTTACAGTAGATATCATAAGCGACTCATGAGAATGCGTTTTGGGTGGGGTTCAGGGGTAAAGACTGGGTATAGCCAAGGTGCAGATATGAGGTGCATGTTAAATGTAATATACGTCAAGAAAAGGACTTGGGACATATTAATTCATTAACATAGCATGAGACTAACTGGTACAAAATAACGATAACAATAATAGCAAAAACAAAAATGAAAACAACAAAAACAATAATTATGATGATAATAATAATAAAAATAAATGACAAAAAATTTAGTGGATTTAGACTAAAATGTAAGGCTAAATTAAAGCCTAGATTACATTTGAAAAGCGATGCCTGCACGGTGCATGTACACTGCCCGTGATATACAATGTACCATTTTCGTACGGCGTCTGAGCGGAGGTAGACGGTGGCCGTGCGAAATCGCACGGAATCGTACGGATTTAAGGCCATGTAATGTAGACATACTCGGCGTAGCCCGTAGCTTCATACGATTTAAAAAATACGTACGGACAATTTCACGGCGCCCGTGTAATGTAATCAAGGCTTAAATAAGCTGAAATGACACAGAGGAAGCGTTTTAAAGACGTGTTTAGACAAAAATTAGAAAACAACAAAATCCTAATTAAATTACACAATCAAACTGAAGAAAAGAAAACTGACACGGTAGAAAAATGCGAATAATATTACTTAATCAACCGAGATGTATCTCACACAAACTCGGCAATTCTAAAATATTTACACGGGAAATTTTAAAGGAGTTCATATTGTGCGGGCATTACAGATCAATATGAACAACAACCAAAGGCCAAAGCGATCTTTTCAATACCATATGCCGGAATGATTTCTATTTTCACAACGCCGATTCGATACCGTTGTTACGATTTTGAAAGGGGATATCCAATCGACATTCTCTCACTTTGTAATAACAGAACAAGTGATACAATAGACTCATTTATTATGAAGGGCCATTTTGTTGTACCTATAATTTGTGTAGAACTCAGTGATATGTATCGAACAGTATGATCAAGTTATGCTACATATTATATGTATGAAACACGTCGTGGTTATTAGATTGAGTTTATTAAGAATATTTTAACATGAAAAATGGAAGACCCGGTGGTTCCAGCTGATTATGTCGTAAGGGAGTTGCATCTTTATAATTCATAATACGATGGACACCAAAGGAACCACAAACACAAACAGAAAGGTGAGTACCTTAGCACCGGTCTTATAACCTTATGTCTTGTGTACAGGTCAACTAAAATCTTTTGTCTAACCACTTGTAGTCACTATCTATCTATTTTTCTACATTCATGTAACATTAAGCAATTCAAAGTGATTTTTAGTGCAGTTATCCATTTTTGAATCAGAGACCCAAAATCCAGATTAATTAAATATTCGTCCTTATACACGAGACACAGGTGGTGTCACACTGGACTTCGATTAAATGTGATAATTCTTCTAGGAGACGAGACCGCTCACCTTAATTTAGTGAAAATATATTTCTTAAATTCAATACACAGGATTATTGTCCATACTTGACATTCTAGGAGAAAAATAGGTTGATCAACGAAAAATAGTTATATATCTTGAAATGAAGGAGCCTACATTTTTTGGTAGTTTGATATTTACATATCAGCAATAACTACCTGCAGTGTACAAATAAACCGCTTTTGTCTCTGCTTCCGTCAGTTTTAGTAAACACTAAAAGATCACATAAAATGAACATGCTGTTTGCTATATGTGATTAAAATTATATGCTTTTTATTCAAAAAGTCAGCGAGGAGTGATTTTTCATCATGGTTAAAAATGACAACTGATTTGATGTCAAGGGTATTGGGCTTCATATTTTTTCATAATTTTATGCATTAAAATGCTTACAGGTACGTGTATTGGGGAACTTTCATATCGAGATAGCGCGATGTTGTGACTTATTATCAACATATAACTTGACTGTGAGAGATACAGAAGTTTTCAAGTGTACCAGCTGTAACAACATCTGAGCGAAATTCGGCTACAGTTATCATGATCCGTGACAACCATTTAGTGAATGAAAGACGCAAGTTGAAACTGAACGCAACGTTAAAAGTCTCCTAACTCGATCACAATACGTTTGATGAAGTATTTGACACCAACAACCAGCCCTGCGGCCTCCCCCTCCCCCCCCCCCACACACACACACAGTACAGTGTACTGTACTGTGTGACATTCACTGGAAAGTAAGCACTTGCTCTAACATTAAATGAAGGTGAACATTAGTCCCAAAGTTCTTGTACCTAGACTGCTATGAAAATACCGTCGCCAAATTTTTGTCTATATTAGTATTGTAAAACAGGCGAACTGGTGCTTTACTTGAGTGTTACGTACTTTGTTTTTATAAACAATTCATACAATAATCCCAAGTTTACTCCGACAGGTGTGCGAGTATCAAAGCGTTTTCCAAGTCCTTACGTAACCCTTCGCTGCTTAACATATCGAAGCGTAGTCATAACATGCACTGTTTCTTTTACAAATAATCCAGCAGTCCTTGTATTTGGGCTGAAAATAGTTACATTTATTTCAAATACAGGTGTTTATTATTATCACGCTTTTCTTGTTTTATAGATTTTCTTTCTTTTTGAAGAGGTGCGAAATTGAACATAATTTTATACTGCACTCGTTCCCCTGCACTAAATAAATTGTATTCTAAAGTTTTTGTGAAAACCCGTAATTCTAAATGTGTTTTCACTCCCTCCTCTCTCTCTCTCTCTCTCTCTCTCACACACACTCACACACACACACTCTACGTCAACCTAAATAAAGATTTTTTTTCCGACTGTGAATAGATGACCACCCTTCTTATAATCCATGCCACAAATAAAAATGAATAATAATCATCTATTTTTTCTCTAGAGCGGAGGGAGCCGCGACAAAAGCAGCAACAAAGTGACTACAGGCATTGCAAACGTTACCTCCGTGGGCGCTTCCATGTACGGGCCGACGGTGAGCCACAACGAAGGGACGCTCCCGCCAGTGGAAACACCGACGACGTGGAGTGAACCCGTGGTGGTGGAAAAACACAAGCAAGAACTCAAAGAGGGCTCTGGACGGAAGAGCCGTCAGGCGGCTTTCTATCTATCCAGAGTGACGCCCACGAGGACTCCAGCACAGTCTAGACCCCAGACAAGACACAGCATGAAGGAGCACCAAGATTTAATATCACAGTCTATAATTCTAGAGGCAAATGGACCAGGTTCAAAGGACAATAAGAAAGTATCCGACAATCCTAATTTAGATCTTTATGAAGCGATGTTTCGTCAGTTTACATTCACTGGATATGACATTATGCAAGACGGTAAGTTGCGCGCTGCGAATTTATTAGCATGATATCTTACACGTGAGAAAAATAAAAATTGCTAGTAATATTTTGAAAGTAATGTTCTTGAAAAGTAGCACCCAGAATATTACTTGGTAATTTATTAATCGCGGCAACACAAAACAAGCCAGCATAACATGACGTAACACATGCTAGTACAGATGGAAAAGATCGCTTCTTTTGTGGAGTAAATTTACCTGAATTCTTCGATTAACAGTAATGTGCAAATAAAGCTGGAATCAGTGTTCTGGTATCCAAAACTTCTTCTTATCGATCTCCAATCCAAAATACAGTCACTTATCGATTTGATCCCTGATGCATTCTAAACAGGCAGATTTTATATCGCATATTGGAATGACTGCCTGCGAGGAGGACTTTGTTGTGAAATTTATACCCAAATATTATTTTAACAATGATTACGACGGGAAGAAAGTAACTCATATATCCGTGCTGTAAGCTGTATAAGAAATACCCCTTATTTATTAATGATTGATTACGTACTGTGAAGGTCACTTCGCAAAAATACGAGTCAGTGGACAATTATTGATGTGAACATTGTTTTTGATTAAGTATGTTCGGCGAATACAAGATTCTACACAGGGGGTATTGATATTCTCTTACCTTAATTGCATAACTGCAAATAGAAATGTTTAACACCGATTAAAAAGGATGCGTTACAGCCAATTAAAGTTAAAATCGTATTGAGGCAGAAGTGGAGGCTTTATTATCTTATGAATGGGGTTTATTGATTAGGCTACAGAGATTTAATTATTTTTTTTATAAACGAAAAGCAATAGATAAAGAAAAACATCATAAAAATTTACGACAATTTAAGTCAAATTAAAGAATCTTTGACGGATTTGTGTTTGCGTACAGTTTCTTCCCTTAAAAAACCTAAAACAACAAATAATTGTTGGAATTACTATTGTGATTACAGAGGCACCCAAAAAGCCTGTCAAACCGAAAAAGGACACCACAGAAATCGCTAAATATAGTGCAATATACGTGGACGCGTGCAAGAAGATGGGTCTCGTGCCAGTGACGTACTTGGCCGAAAGACTGGCAGAGAAAGAAGTAGAAATGAACAGCCATGGCCTAGGCCCACAGGGGGCAAAAGCTGTTGCCATATCATTAGTGGTGAGTACATGTACCAAGACAGGATAAAAGATAAACTAGACATTGAACAAAGTGCGTGAAGAGGGATGAACGATAGTTAAATGATTTTCAGGTATTTTAATTAATCTTACGAAAAGAAATTCAAAGGAAATAGTGAAAATATGTAAGAATTAAGAAACGAGCTGGAGAACAAGTGAAATCACGAATATGATTCTAAGGATAAAATATACTTCTGAAAATGTATTTGACAAAAGTACGTATAAAACAATTAACCGAACAGGATCTCTCATTCTTGTCAGCAGAAGGCACCTATTATATCATTCGCGTGTCCTTATATATTTTTTCATTTACTAGCGGAACGACAAGGTACAGTACCTTAGTATAGAGGACAACTGGATAGGAATTGAGGGCGCTAGTTACATAGCAGAAATGTTGACGGAAAATTTCACTATAACAGAATTGGTAAGCTACAGCACATACAGTGAACATGACCTCATCTCTAATATTTGTTTATTTAAAAAATGACAGTCTCAGAATATATTATTTTTCAGTAAGATATAGGGTTTCCGAGGCACCGGTAAATATATATAACTGAAAATTCAATTTTAATAAACAAAAAATGTGTACATCAGATACGGAATTTTGATAGTAAAAGCTTTATTTCACAAAAAAAAAAAAAAATAAAAAAAAAAAAATCACATCTACGATTATTTTCTGTTATTTAAATAAATATGCAATTTACAGAATCTTGCTGAGAACCGTATTGGATCTGAAGGTGCAATAGACATATTAAAGGTGCTACTAGAAAATACCAGCATAAAAATGCTAGATCTCTCAGGTTAGTCTGGCTACAGTGTATCTTGGTAATAGAAAAGAAATATTTGTGCTTATGTTTCAATCGTGGTTTACTGTAGAATTCACATTATGTGATTTGTTAATAAAATATATATCTAAGAAAAAGAACAACTGAAAGGTAAAAATGATGCTTTGAAAACTCCTTGGATTATTTTTTTTCGTAAGTCCTGTTACCAAGTAACAAATCATTCCATCTCGTTAACATGCCTTTCAGTAAAATGTGCTGAAAAGTGCATACACGTATGACTAAATGATACATCTATTACGGTATTCGATAACAGTGGCCTTTTGTCTTTAGGAAATGGCATTCATGACGATGCAATGGGAGACCTAGCCGAGGTGCTAATGGTAGGATAAGTCACTGCTAACAACACTTATTGCTATACAGTATAAAATCTAAAACATAAGCATCAAAATATATTAAGATTTACTGGTAAAATACATTTTAAATTAAGGACCATTTACTCGAGGACGTATCTTTGCAAATGGTCGTCAAATGAATTATGGTAAAAAAAAAACTACTGACCCAGTGACGATCAAAACAATAATACTAATTTCGGATCTAATTCAATAAAAAATCATTCTCCTAACGATTTGTACAAGGAACGTAACAGACTCGTGTGAGATAAATGTTAGATTGTTTTTATTTTCTCTTTCTAGGAAAATATTTATCTCAGGGAACTTCGTCTCAGTCACAACCAGATTGGAGAGGACGGAGGACCAATTCTTGCCAGAGCTTTAAGTGAGGATGACCCCTTTGTCAAAATAGTCCTGTTGAAACAAAATCGTGTACCTTCCTAATAAATTGTGTCACATTTTTACACGTGGTTAAACCAAAAAATGAAAACTTAATTGAAGGGATTCATTCAATGTCACTTGGGCATGCTGTTATGATCGTTGGGGATTACTGGATTAGAAGAATATTGTTGATCTTAATCGGATCTTTTTTCTCGTATCTTTTAAGACCCGCCCATGTCCATCAAAAGTTGTTCGCAAATTTTTACCGCCGCTCATTATTTTCACATTAAATTTACACTGCCCGGTGAAGATGCGTTGTTTTTTTCTGCTTAAAACTGTCAGTATTCCAAACACGTTCCGATGTATAGAAGGACACTGTAAGTACTTTAAATTTTCTCAATTTTTTTCCAGAGTCCAACGATTCATTAGAAGTGTTAGATATCAGCTGGAACCACCTCAGAGGGAAAGCTGTCACCGCGATTGCTGGATGCCTGCAGGTAAAGAGACACCTGTACCTGAACCTAATTAGTCAATTCCAAGGCAACACCCGTCTGGAGTATACTTACATTAAAGTTTGCCCTTTCTTGCTCTAATTCGTCTAGAGCTTTTTATTTTGTTAAGTTGATCTCTCCATCTTGTCTTTAGTCTTTCTTGTTTTCTGGTCTATTGTTTTTTAGTCTACTCAGCCAATTTATTGAATTTATGAGACACACCGCTTATTTCATTAATTATACCTTTTTTTCAAAATATGAACTGGATGCACGTTCAATGCTTCTAGTTCTATGCATCCAGAACAAATGCACGCAATAAAACTACTTCAATTCCACCTTACTTTATTTAAAATATCGGCGAAATGTTTGCTTTAAGTTCTTATTTCATGTGTTTCACATGCATGCATTATTTTTGAAAATGCATTGTAGTTTAAATTAATCTTCGTAGGAGCTTTGGCATTTTACTGCTTTTGTATTATATTTTAAAGTAAAAGTACAGCATTTTGATAACATTTTCAACACATTACTTTTATAATAATAATGATTATTATAGTATAATGTTGGCCTGCGTATGTTGGACATATCCTGGAATGGTTTCGCACTGGACGGGTGTCGGGTGTTAGGGAAAGCGTTAATCGCCAACAAGACGCTGCAAGATCTGGACATTTCAAGTAACAGACTCCATCCTCAGGCCATAGCAGAGCTGATGAAAGGAGTGAAGGACAACCAAGGCTTGGTTAAAATCAGTGTAAGTCATGGTTTTTAAGGTAAAGCAGGCGAATTGTGGTAGAGGGATTGTCCTTGAATGCGAACTATGACATTTTCGATACGTATAGCCTACAGATAGGCCTATCAACTTGCCTTCATTTTATAACATTAGAATTGTATTCTAAAACAGAACAAAAGAACGAGACAAAACGAATTTATATTTTTGATTGTAAAACTTAGGCCTACTTTAGATCTACGTACTTCTTATTAAAGTTGACTTAAGGCAACATGTTTTTCGATATGAATATTTGGCATAATCCGCCAAATAACTTCCGTGGCATGGAACATCTTTGCTGAAACTTTTGCTCTAGTTCCTGATAAACAAGGCCCCAGAAATGAGACTTTCCGCTTTGATATTTTCAAATCTCAAATTTACTTGATTTACTACATATACATGTAAGATTGACTTAGAGTCGCGTTTTTTTAAATAGGCCTATCATTTCAGATCTCAAAAACAAAGAATCCTTGAAAAAGGCCTTGTGATAAGGTCGAAATTGTGATCTCTGTTTTAACGTAAGATCCAATATTAGATATAACTTTTTCATCATCTTAGTAGGCCTATAACGTAACGCGGTGAATCAAAACATTCACTTTTATTTCAGATCTCCAGCAATCCTATAACGCCCAAACTTGCCCTTGCAATCCTCCAGTCTTTAGATAAGTGCAATCCGCTATCCGAGCTCTCAGAGGTGGACATGTGGGTGAGTGGAGAGATGTTCTCCTCATGAAAATTATATATTACAGAAAAATGAGTGAATGAATGAATGAATGAGAGAAAGAGTGAAACATTGAATAAATGGACAAATTTTGTAGATTTGGCTGTGGAGAATATCAAAAAAAATGTCACAATATATGTAAAATGCTGCACTATTAGAGTAAAAAAAATTGTACGAATATCACCTTCTCGTTGCAGGACGTTGTCGTCACTCAGGAATTTGTGAATTTTCTCGAAGAGATGCAAAAAAAGCGCGAGCTGGTTGTAAAGTACGGTCCTATAATGGGCAAAAATGATCATCGACACTACACATCCGACGCCGCACTGGGCACGACGGACCCACTCGAAATCCTGTTCAACTTCATGACCCGAGAGGGAATGCGTGTCGTGGATCTCTTCAATAGGTTCGACACAGACGGCAGCAGTAGTGTAAGCAGGGCAGAGTTTAGGGACGGCCTCCTGGTATGAGAAATATTTTTCAGAGTGTTATGTGTAATTTATAACAGTAAGGTCACTTTATAGAGTTGATTATATGGCTATAGACCGCATGTTGTACAAGGCAATCGTTTGACTTAAAGTATTTTAACTCATCTTTTCTATTTAGAAAAGAGAACTAATAAATTTATTCATGTAGCAGTTATGAAGATCAAAAGTGATCTTTATCTTGCCTCAGCAAAGAATACTGTCTCGAGTATTGTGAACGTTATGCAGTGTTTTTATCTATTGCTTTAACGTGCCTCTAAAGCACGATAATAGCGTTTTGGAAAGTAAACATTTTTGTTGACTTTCATGCTTTTCTTAAAATTTTAGGGTGTGAACGCCCCTCTGACTCGTGGTCAACTAGACGTGTTACTGGAACAATTAGACGAAGACGGAGATGGCGAAGTCGATCTCAGGTAATTATTCTACGAGACTGTTCCAGCCCATCGCGCATTCTTTTCAAAGATAACATCGATATCTAGATGAATTTGACATGTCCGTTACAGAGAAGATAACAAAAGTCATGAAAAAAGTACATACGCAAGATTTCGGTCTCGGAGATTATCTGTCAAAAGAAAGGTTAATAGCGGACACTGCAGTTGACGGATTTTACGTCTGATGACAAAAAATAAAAAAAAGGAATTAAAAACTTGCGGTAGGTCTAATTTAGATAAATATATCCTGACAGACAAAAAGTTCAGATTATCCCTCGATATCCAAACACAGAGAAATGCAAAAGTTAAGGTATGGCAATTCGTCTCAATGTGACGCATGCCTTCGCCATTGTAGCTCTAAACGCTTTAAGTCAAATCGTTTAATTATCATTATTTATGTTGTTTGCTTGTTTATTATTGTTTCCCTTGATGCATATCTCTCTGAAAAAATGCAGAAGACTGTCACTTACAACAGGAGGGTTGTATATCTGCCTCTGTACTCGACAGGTCGTCCTATTCCATACGCATTTTGATTTAAATTACTTTACACTTTTGCAGTTTGATTTTATTTAATTTTTTTAGTTTTGGTAACAAAAACAGTGTTTTCATTCATGTATCTATTTACTTATTTATTTTATGTTTTAATTTTCAGCTCGTTTTGCTCATTTCACCTTCATTTTTCCTTCTTTCGTTTACCCAATAGTGAACTTATGTCAGGTGCTTCACGCTTTAAAAGAAGACAGATGCGGAGGAGACTGAAACAGTTGAAACACACAAAGACCGCTATACGTAAAATTGAAAAGAACGATGAAGCAGTAAACGCTGAACTGCTGCTATAGTACAACAAAGGTTAATATAAATGTATGCATGTGTTGCACAGGCTGTGGCGGTTTTAATTGCACTGGGTGGTAAATTTCTCATTGCACTTGTTGCTTAAACATTGCACATATTACTTTGACAAATCACGAACCAGCATTTGTCCTAGCGCACATCGGCTGTATATACCTATAAAGTCTTTTATGGAACTCAAACACCCGCACGTCTTCTCGCACTTGTGTTCAATTTCAATTCACAGTTGTCCACCGAACAAGTAGTGTCCTTAGGCAAAAGTTTATATGTTTAAAAGTTTATATTTAAATGTTTATATGGCAAAAGATCTGACTCAAATGTTTCGTTTGTATATTTGTCAGATTTAAATAGCGAGAATGAGGAAATGATACATCACTAGGAGGGTCATGATCTGATTTGCTTGGCACACCACATCACTGGTGAACCCTCCAGCCGCCTCCTCCATCCTGGCCTATCCATATCCAAACTAAACTGAGTGTAAAGGCCAATATAACGGAGTCTGCCCTCCGTCAAATTTACAAAAATAAGGATAAGCGTGACGTGGACCTAAATGTAAGAGTTTGTTCGCCTGTTGAAATAGATAAAAACTGGGTCCTGTAACTGTTTTTTTTTACTATTAAACAGGGAATTCTTTCGTACATGACAGGGGCGTGCGTCTCTTAACAGGAATGACTGGAGTGACTTCCCGAAGCTGGACGCGGCGGCGACAGGGGGGAAGGGGGGGGGCGGGGGTACTCGTGCATGATACTCCAAATGTGTTCCTGAACCTCTTAGCGACAGATGGAATATTGGAGTGCATGTTTTTTTAGATCTTTTGAAAAGATATATAGCTAGCCTATTTCACGTTGTTATTGGCACAGGAAACCAGACACTCATAAAAAGGGTTGTCACACCAACAATATCATGACAGTTGTAAACGATTTTGAATAGTGATAATTTCCTATCTAGTGCAATTTTCCATATCTAGCATGACTAACGGTACTATATATATATATATATATATATATATATATATATATATATATATATATTTTATCATTTATTCAAATTTAGAACATACACCTACTGAAATAATTGATAATAATTGAGCACTGGACTGAAACATTAACAACGTCTTTCTTGCTACAAATAAGCCTGGGTCTAACTGGACTTTAATTTTGATTTAAAAATTAAAATTATTTTGTAAAACAGGCCCCAGATATAGCTTGATACTAACTTTTCTCAGGAAATATCCGTCATAAGTCCAGTCGATAAATCATTTTATGAAGTATCATATTGTTAATCTTATTTTATTGCAGGGAAATATTTAAACAAGTACGGGACATGAAGAGACGCCGCATTCAGGAAAGAGAGGAGGAAAAAATATTCCAACGGCGCGTTAAGAACGAACTTGATGAGTTTTCTGAATTTGACCCCAGATTGCAAAAGCTGGCAAATAGGGCAATACAGATGAAGAAAAGAAAGGAGTCGCTACAAAACAGTGATACTTATAAACCTCCGGAAAAGGAGAAACATTTCAGTAGCGTGCGGGCACGTGGGAAACCATCCAAATCTATCACCAAACAGGACGAATCTACTCAAACTTAAAACAGTCGAAACTCCTGAATCGATCTTCTGCTCAAATTTAAATATAAAATGTTGTAAAGGAGGCCACAATCTTCTCGTATCTTATTAAGAGTTCAACACGTATTGGTGTATTAGTAGCCAAGATACACGTTCTCTCATGCGATGGGGTGAGGTATTGAATTCTAAATGCACATTGACACTCTGGTTGATAAAGCAAGTCAAGGCTGTTCGGAGTTTTCGTGTAAGGCTCTGTTCTCACAACTTTTAGATCGATCTATCACCGCGTGGAGTCTCACTAGATTACTGTCAGATAATCCCCCTTAAGTGTCCGTCCCCGCCTACTACAAGCTTTAAGGGGTAATTAACTTTCGTGTCCGCCCGGCTGACAGCTATTTAGCGTGAACCCCCAGGGAGTTAGGTCGATCCAATGTAGGTCGATCTAATCTATGAGAATGGGGTGTAAGACTTGTCCTGTTTTGAACGCAATGGGATTTTTAATAAATGCAATAACATTATACCAAACAATGATTAAATACGGTGAAATTTTAAAATTGTCTCTTGTTAAAAAACATGAACAATTAATATGTTTTATCTATACAGAGCAAAATTGAAGGGTTGAACGTCACGCCACAAGGTAAAAAGAAGTTTAGTGTCTTTAAAAACGAACCACTTTTTATCATAATGAAAAATTGGGTAAATAAATAAATAAATGTATATTGGTCCAGCATAAGTGTTATTAATATTCAGATCTATCATCTTGATGGGTTGATGTGACTTTTTCATCATTCACTCGTATCGTAATACAGGACATGCACGAATTTAAATTATAAAACAGCTAGCTAACACAGGTTGATAGTCAAACCCTCTTAACGGCGGAGTTTAATCAGGGCAAGTCAATAAATCAACTGATAACCGAACTTTCTTTCACCTTGAGTACACCAATGTGTCATTAAAGTGTGCATGACGCGCGTTGGGGGTGGGGGGCTCTGCATTTGGAAAGTTTTTGAAGTTATTTCAGGCTCAAATTTATATGTTTCCAAAATCTGGCACTCTTTAATTTGTATACTCAAGGCTGGTCAGTCTACATTTGTAGGACTTAAGATACCGAAGTGTAAACACAAATAGTTTAAAATCTCAATTTTCATTTTTTTCTGAAACACGATACTTTTTCGTCGTATCCCCATACAGTAAGTACTAGAAGGATTTATTATTATTGTTATTATTATTATTATTACTGATTAGCAAAAATAGTCTATTCCCCAAGTTGCACTAAATAAATATAATACTAATTTTAAAAGCATCAGACAACATTTTTTGGACACCAGACATAAAGTATTGCAACACAGATAAATAGATAAATAAACAGATGTAATAAGAGCGACCTGTTTATCTGCGTACAAATATAGATCATTCAAGTAGTTCACACAAGCAAAGATCAAGTTTAACGCTGTGACGCGGTCACCGCAACACCCCACGTCCTGATTAAGATTTATTTGGACCGCTACTGGACAGTGGCATAGCTTTAAAAGGCTCACACCGTTCACCCTAAATTGCTAATACTACAATTCAAATTGCCACTTAAATTATACCTAATATTTGTGAATTATTTGTTAGATTTTCCATGTAGGCCTATACAGTGTATATCTGTAGTAACACTTCTGGTACATTTAGTAACACTTCAGTTGATGTAAATAAGGATCAATACAAATGAATGAAAAAAGAATGAATGAAATTTCGGAATATCAAACCACATCTTCACAATTGGCAATCTGCTACAAACGATGAAGCCAGTTACAGTTACAGATGGTCTACGTTTGTGCAGATGAATAAATCTCCCCCTCTTGGGGTGTACTCTTGGGGCTCATTCCCATTGAAACTAGCGGTATGTATGTAGATCGGTCAAACGCCACAGGGACTCTCGCTGATTGCAATCAGTTTTACAGTTTAACACGGCTTCTCCTAGCCTACAGAAAGGCTGATGATTTATACGAATACGTTGGAAACATGAGGAGGTGTCTTAGTTTCCAAGAGAATGAGCCCTTATACCTCAACAAAAAATAGGCACAGCATACAAAATACTTTATATAGGTACTTGATTTATTTTGAACATAAACAGTTAATTACTTTACTGGTAATTGTATGAATATTGAGAATATCAGGGCAGATATTGAGATATGGTGTTAAGCGTACGTTAAGTGGGCCATTTGATTTGACCAAAACAGCCCTATCTTCCCCGCGTAACCAAGTTGTTCCGCTGAATAAACAATTGCTTAATAAAATCCCTTCGTTTGGAGGAAGAGCGGATCAAGTTAGCTGCACCACATCTTTAATTCATTAAGTTATCCAACAAAGCGGTGAGATGCCTGTGTTAGGGAACGTGGGAAGTACTGCATTTGAAAACTACTAAGACGAGGAAGCTTGCAGCAACATGCGGGTGTCTTGTTGCGGCTGCAGATTTTAGGCTATCGTTTTGTTGTCAGCAGAACAATTACACCAAGGAATAAAACCATTGTTGTGGTTATATGCTCTATATCTTCTTCAGAATTGAAGGAGATCCGCTTCAATCGCGAGATCAACTTCACCTCCTCGTCATCATCTGATAGCTGTCCAGGCGCGACCATTAAAATGGAGCAAGGTTTGGACCACTGGGCGGACATTTTGGTTGTAGTGCTCTATTTTGTTTTCGTGTTGGCAGTGGGACTTTGGGTGAGTGTGTGTTTGTTGTTTACCTGAACATGACCTAAAATTTTCCATTGTTGATGTAACATAATAACGCCATTTTCACGTCAAGCAGCACAGTTTTTGGTATCGCACTAGTGTGAGAGACTGACAACGGCTTTGATTAAATAACACAGTTACTTAGGGTGCATTCCCAGAGATTTAGATCGACCTAACTCCCTGGGGTTCACGCTAAATTGCAGTCAGCCGTGCGCGCACCATAGTTAATTACCCCCTTACAGCTTTTAGTAGGCGGGAAAGACGCTTAAGCCGGCTAAGCTGACAGTAATCTAGTGAGACTCCCAACAGGGATAGATCAATCTAAAATCTATGGGAATGGTGTCTTAGACTGCATTCCCACAGATTTTTAGATCGATCTATCCCCGTGGGGAGTCTCACCAGATTGCAGTCAGATTAGCCGGCTTAAATGTCTGTCCTGCCTACTAAAAGCTGTAAGGGGGTAATTAACTTTCGTGCGCGTTCGGCTGACAGCAATTTAGCGTGAACCCCCAGGGAGTTAGGTCGATCCAGATGGATCGATCTAAATCCGTGGGAATGCGGTCTTAAACAGATACCAGTGCTCGGTGTAACGTGCACTGGAGTTTGAGGAAGGGAATGACCCTGCTTCCGTAGAGTATACGTAATTACTTGCCAGGACCGGTGAAAGATCCGGAAACCTATATCGCTCGAAGTGAAGGGGGCTATAGTCTGATAAGTCTGATAAGAGGGTGACCGTGGCGGCTTTTAATGTTTTTGTTCTATGGTTCAGTAATAGTACTTCTCATGGGTTGTATTCGTTATCCACCTATTTCATGCATTTTGTGGATGTCTTTATATGTGTAAATTTTAGTTTCAAGTATTCGTGCCTTAAAAATAAAGGTAAGGCTTATAAAGCTTTCTTTATATATATAACATTTTTCAGTCTTTATGTCGCCCAAACCGTAGCAGCGTCAAAGGGTACTTCCTCGCTGGGAGGGATATGATTTGGTGGCCGGTAAGATTCTCAATTAGTGTGTGTGTGTGTGTGTGTGTGTGTGTGTTTGAGAGAGGGAGAGAGAGAGTCGAATTTTTGTGTTTAAAACCTATGTAGATCCAATTTTTGTTAAGCACAGTTATGTTTTTGTATTTTCATTGGGAGACTAATTTTCGGAAAAAAATCTTATCAGTTGTGAGGGCGAGACATATGATAATGCCTATCACTTTAAGTTTTGCGTTTTCTATTTTATTTCATTATTTTGTCTGACGTGTATTATTTTGCTTTTTACATTCTGGGTCTGAATAATGTGCATGGTTATCTGCTGCTGCTCGCTAAGGACGCAAACTCATGCAGCTTAGATTTTTTTAGAAATGTCAACGCTTTCCCTTTAGAATTAAGGAACACCATATCCAGGATCGCATATTTAATTGCAACCTATGCGCCTTTATTCAAGCTTTTTATTCACCAGTTAAACACACGCAGTGACTATCATTTCCTTGTACCAGGTGGGCGCTTCACTCTTTGCCAGTAACATCGGCAGCGAACATTTCATCGGACTGGCGGGAACAGGAGCTGCCTCTGGCATTGCCATAGTAATGTACGAGTGGTCTGTAAGTCTTTTTATCAAATATATCTAATAAACTTTTGTAATCCCAAACGTGTAGTGATTTTTTTCATAAGTTAAGACGGAGCATAAACAAAACATTTATTGCTAGATAAAGAAAGCGAGAAAATATGTATACAGTTTTATATGTTTAGCAAGATCAAAAACCTACAATTGAATCTAAGTGAGGTGATGGGAATATTGGGTCTTAGTTTAACTCAAATTAACGGCTGAAAAGTGTTACTGAATATATTTACTTTCCAGTCCATGCCACTCGTCATGCTGCTTGCATGGGTATTTCTGCCGGTTTACCTTGCATCCGGAGTAAGTGTATATTTATCTGTTTCTTTTTATTTGTGTAACCGGTCAAGATTAGATATGCTTTGTTTTAATTTTACTCTAGGTATTTGATTTTTTAACTTCAGATTGGAATCAGCAAGAGATATACGGTTAGCATAATGCAATACGTTTTAGTATTTCAAAAATGCAACACAAATGATAAAATTGCTTATTCAGGTACAAAGGAATAGTAACTTTACACTGTTTCATTATTTTTTTCTATTTACTATTATTTTTCATTACGCTTTCTTATGTAGGGGCCACAGTTAATGCACATTTCTAAATTTTGACGCTTAACTGCATGTACATGTATATAGGTATGAAATGTTCAAGTGAAACTTTTGGTATTTTACAAATAAATTTACAATGTTGTATGTTTAAGGCCTACACGTTACCAGGTTACCTACAGAAGCGTTTTGGCGGCCAACGTCTCCGAGTGTACATCAGTTTCATCGCCCTCGTGCTGTATATAGTTACCAAGCTTGCCGTAAGGAACTTGCCTTCCAACCTTTTTTGGGGGGGAAATCGCTTACATATTCTGGTTGGATTTGAAAGCTTATTGACCCAATTTTTCTTTTTGTCAGTATTATCCTATTAACACTTTCAAAATTGCTGAAAAGGTTTAATTTATATTTTAGATAAATATCTCAACATATATTACGCTTTTCATGTGGTACTACAACAGACACGCAAGAAAAAAGGCAACTATTAATTTGTAAAATAGAACCAAAATCTTCAGATAGATTCGAAATTTCCTTTGCAATTAAGGTACCCATTCAAGGTACATGTCCACACAGGCGTCTGATTTACTTTTTAGTTGGTAAATGATTTCAAATATTCACTCAAAATAGTAAAATCTCTTTCTGAATTGAGTGCTGTATCTCGATATAATTATGTTCACTGTAGGTTAGCATCTACGCAGGCGCCCTCTTTATCCAGCTTGCCCTGGGCTGGGACATGTATGTATCCATTGTCGTCCTGTTGGCTGTCACTGCCGTCTTCACCGTGCTAGGTAGGTCTATTAGCATTTCCAGTCCCCCGCTATCTAGGTCATTGGTCTACTAACATTTCCAGTTCTCCTCTATCCAGGTCGTTGGTGTACTCTAGGCAATGCGCAGGATGTCCATATTTTTCTCCTGTGAAGAAAAAGGAATGATTTGTATATATCTTACGTGTATTACTGTTATTACATGCAATTAAATGTCTGAGACTAAGGTAAAGCTAAATAATGGGAACATGCTTTTAGTATGCAGTAGACATTTCTGGTGATTTTACTCTAGACATTCTTACTAACGGAATGTTAACACAACTGTGTGTTTAATTTTTCAGCACATATAACATGAATGTTAAATATAAAATGGACAGATTATATATTTCAAAAACGTGTTAAACGATTCAGCTGAAAATTATGTGAATTCAGAAATTAAAAAATGCAAATTCGAATTGGCTTTTGGTTGAACATGAAATTTATACCACTCATTTTGTCAATTTTTAGCCTTTTTGGATTCCCCTCTACATGTACATTCACACTAATTCCAAATATTGTGTATGTCCTGAGCTCTCAGATATATCAATAAATCCAGTAATATTTCGTCTACGGTTTTATCATCCTTTCAGGTGGACTAGCCGCGGTAATATACACAGACACCTTTCAGACCATAGTCATGATGATAGGGGCGGTGGTGCTTATGGCCATTGGTGAGTGTCGTCATCACGCCCAAGCATTTCTCGGGTGTTAAACCCATTCGTTGTTACTCGGTTTAGCCGTGGTCCATTTAGTAATAATCGGATTTCCGTAGTTCGACACTTCGTACGTCTATGGTTTTTCATGGAACGTCTTGTTATAGTTCGCTGTACATGCAAATGTCGTTGCTAACTTGCAAGTAAATTTTACATAAAACTGAAAATATGTAAATTAGTCTAACACAGAATATGATACATCTTTCTTTCATTGATGCTATAAATGTGTTCAGGCTTCGTAAAGGTGGGAGGTTACAACAACCTTATCCTGGCGTACACGGCTGCAGTACCGACGGTACGTGATCTGAACTCCACGTGCGGTTTTCCGCGGGAAGATGCATTCCACATGTTCCGTGACCCGGTGACCTCTGACCTCCCATGGCCTGGCCTCATTTTACAATCCACCATTGGCTGTCTCTGGTACTGGTGTGCTGACCAGGTGAATATGGATTGATATTGAATACGGATTGATATTGAATATGAACTGACATTGGATATGAATTGGTATTGAATATGGATTGATATTTTCAATTTTCGCCACTTTGCGCGTATGTTAATGTATTATTAATATTATTATTATAAACCATAAACTTGAGACAGTTATTGATTAATTTCACTATAAAGTGACAGCAAAAATAAGAAATTTTAAAATCAAAAAAAAAAATTCTTTTAACAGTTTTGGGAAAATTGAAATTTCCAGCTATATGAATTTCTTGTTATATATATATATAGACCTAAAGGTATATAGCGTGCTCAGTATGTGCCTTTAATAGAAACAGAGGGTATTGTTAAACGCCATTGTTTGATGTTATTATCAGGTCATAGTTCAACGTGCCCTTGCAGCGAAATCCATCACTCACGCCAAGGGCGGGGCAATCCTAGCCGGTTACCTGAAACTCCTCCCTATATTCATAATGATATTGCCCGGAATGATGGCACGAGCTCTTTATCCTGGTGAGTGTAGATGTAATAAGTTCTCCGCTACTCAATGTGTACAGTCAGTGGTGGATCCAGGATTTTGGTAAGGTGGAAGGGGGGCACAAAGATTTTGCTGAGCGAAGCCACATGGTAAATCATGGTAAACGGGGACAAAATTCACCGTGACATGTAGGTGTTAAACAATTGCGTGGCTTTGTCTCGTTTTATTTGGTATAGTGTTTTTTTTTTTTTTTTTTGGGGGGGGGGAGAAGGGGGAAGGTGTAGCCTTGAAAAATCAAGAATTTGCCGAGACATGGATTCATGTGTAGTTTTAATCCCTTGTTTCCCTCTTGGATTTTATTCTGATCTCTGTGAATAACTCTTCTAAAACCCTCTTCATACCGACGCCAATGAAAACGTGGTCTTCATCGCTGGCAGAGGTAAATGTCGCATTCGTCTTTTCTTGACTTGTTTTCTTGTTGTTTCAGAGGAGGTCGCGTGTGTGGATCCTGCAGAATGTGAGAAATACTGTGGCAATCCGGTCGGCTGTTCCAACATCGCTTACCCTAAGCTGGTACTTACTCTTTTGCCAGTAGGTGCGCATCGTTAGTTAAGGTTATATACGTGCATTTTCAATAGTGATCTTGAAGGAAGCTTTACGATTTTCCCGGAGTAAACGATTACAGTATTTTGTGTTCAGGTCTGCAAGATTTTAGGTCACAGTGCTGATTTTAAGAACGGCAGATTTACGTATTAGGAATTTGATATTATGATAGATGGGACAATGTGTGATTTACCTAGTTACAGTAGTACCGTTCTTCAAGGGGAATGCCCCTGCTCTCCCCAGTTATTATAAAGAAAGGGAAAGGTCAGTCAAGAACGCTTTAAGGTGTTGGCAAGGGTTATTCACATGAAGAAGCCCTCTCAATCGGTGAAATATACTAGTTAATCAATAAGACACAGTAGGTTCCCTGCATAACTACAGGTACCAATTCCATAATACGCAATTCCAGGTCTGAGAGGACTGTTAATGGCAGTAATGATGTCAGCTATCATGAGCTCTTTGACTTCAATCTTCAACAGCGCCAGTTCTATCTTCACTCTGGACCTGTGGAGACGATTTCGCGGGAAAGCAACTGAACGAGAGCTACTCATTGTTGGACGGTACTACATGTAGAAAATCATGAGAGGCATACAATTCACCTAAGACCTTTATACATAAAAAATGGAACTTTCCTTGGAATTTTCAGAAATTTCAACTCCGCCATAAATGCTACATGTATTAGTAGGAGTCAGTTTGAATGTCCTAAAAACATAACGGTTATGATGGAGAATGAATGTTTTAATTAAATTGCTGTCAAGGTTCATATACACTATTGCCCAAAATGGTTGGCACACGGAAATTTTGAAAATTTTGAAAATATCGCTTGGATTCTTTCATTATTATTGATATTATTAAAAATATTTACGAGAATGCCGTAGGAAAACTTATTTTTTATGTTTTACGTACTGTATCTCTAATTTTCCTATTAAACCTCTTTCAGAGTGTTCATCCTGTTTATGTGTGTGATAAGTATACTATGGATTCCGCTGGTAAAATCATCCCAGGGTGGGCAGCTGTTCATCTATATCCAGGCCGTGCAAGGCTACCTCGGCACGCCTATCGGGGCTTTGTTCCTATTAGCAATAGCGTGGGGAAGAATGAACGAACAGGTATTTCATAGTCTTGGCTGGTTTTATTTTCAAAGAGCTTCTAATGTCGGTTCTACACGTGCTTTGCAAACAGGCGCAACAGCTTGCCAAGGGAAATGGGAAATACTGATAAAAAGTTTTTAAAGGAAGTGTTTGAATCCTTGATTGGCTCTTTCAGGGTGCATTCTGGGGAATCTTGGCTGGTCACACGTGCGGAGTCATCAGAATGATTCTTGACTTCAGTTTCCCAGGCCCAAAATGCGGTGAACCAGAGACCAGACCAGAAATTCTCTACAAGGTCCACTATTCCTATTTTGGTTCCTTGACCATCGTGGTGACAAGTTTGGTCACTATTGTGGTCAGCTTGCTGACCAAACCACTGGATCAAAGGGTAAAGCATGCTTTGGTACATTTTTGTATTCCGAAATTGGAATAGGCTATTACTTTTTATTTGATTAAACGTCCAAAATTCTCTCTCATTCATTTTTAAAATGTAGATTTTTTGTAATGAGACAAAAAATCTCTTATTGTTTTGTAGAATTTTAAGAAGGTAAATAAAAGCATGGAAGGGTCTACTGTTTTACTCCTCTATCTTATCCTTCATACATGTACGTTACATTAGTATCCCCCATTCTCCTAAATCAACATTGTTTACTTCATTGATTACCACGTATTTTTTATGTTCTAGAATTCAGGGGTGAAAGAGGGAAAGGTTGTCCAACTTAAGCAGGTAATAACACGGGTTTGAGAGCCTCGGGGAAGGGATTTATGTTATCAATATGAAGCCACCGTCTACACATAAAAACACAATGTCTGTCTCACCTAACGCATTTTTCTACCCAGCTTTGTGGACTCACGTGGAAAACACGGTGGGACGCATTCAGGGGAATACAAGCTGGTTCTCCTTCTGATGCCGTTGACGTGTCCAGCTACGCCTCGGAGACCGGGGCTCCTGATTACAACCCGGTTCCTATGGTGGCCGTGCAGAAATCCCAAGACACAAATTTAGAAAAAGAAACGAAGTCTGAAACGGGTATCAACGGCATGAAGGAGTTAACAGCGAAAGAGCAAATATTAGGTAGGACAAGAATTGTTCAATACATTTTGCTAAATTGCAGTTTCTTTTGCTTGATGTTTTATAAAATGTATTATTATTATTATTATTATTATTATTAATGTGACAGTTGTTGCTACTAATCATACCTTACTATTTATATAGATGGGTGTTCTTTTTTCCCCCTGCTCATTCTTATTGATAATTATTTTTGCAAAATGAACCGTCATCAGTTGGATGATGGACATGACCAGTTTATTTAGTGTTATTCATTAGTTTATGCATTGCAATCCGCGAAGCATTGGCCTAACTCTCGGAGAGAACTAGAATGTCCCAGTTGATACAAAAAACGGATGGACAGTGATAACTCGTCTTTTTTAAAAAAATCAAAGGGATAATTTGCGGGTATATATACACCAACCATACTCTACATTTTAGAAATATACAACGGTATCAGAAAAACACCGTGAACAGCTTTCGTCAGCACTGAAGCAAAATTGTGGTAATATTTGTTTTGTAGGATATTGGTTTTGATTTTTGTCTGATTCCACTGCACCTCACATTCGGTTGTTAAAACCTACAAAAATTATTTCAAAAACCAGCTATAGCACTTCATTATTGAATACTGTTACTGTGAAAGATATTTGTTCAAAATAATAACATAGAAATAAAAAAACGGCTCAGTGCAGCTTTATATTCTTCGCGGTTTTGGTAGGGTAATATTACACTGCAAATAAGGGGACCTACATGTACACGGATTTAACAAAGACACGTTACAAAGACACGCACAATTCAAATGAATGTCTCTTAAATTTTCAGAGGGTACAGAAGAAAACAAGATCGAGCACCAGGAGGAGTCGATGTCCACAGAAACAAAAACGACCATTTTACGACATTGGGTCCACTTCGTTTGTGGCATACCGGAAATAGCTCAAGCCAGTGTAAATGATGCAGCCGTTAGAATGGCCGCGATGATAGAGAGTTCAAAGTGGAGATTTATTCTCAACGTCAATGCCGTTATTGCATTGGCCATAATGATGTTTTTGTGTGGGTTTTTTGCATAAATTACAATGTAGGCAGTGTGTGGCCTGTGTGTAACATTGATCTCAGGCTCATAAGAATGGCATCAGTTTGTTTTTTCGTAAGGATTTCTAAAAAATGAAATACTGTAAGGATTTCTAAATAATGAAATACTAATTAAATTGTATTTTTATTCCTTTTTTGATTCAAAATCTTATTGGGCCTCAAACTAAATTTTGTTTGGTTGCCACGTTAATACCATAACAGAACAGTCATGTGTCACTTTCTTGTCCTGAATACCAAAACGTTTTATGCAAAATAGGTGCTCGAAGACGAAATGAGCACTATCATGTAAACTATGAAATTTCCTTTACCACGTATATATAATCATAGTGAGCTTAATGATAATGTTACATTCACAAAAATAAACTATTGCCGAAACCACATTTTTTTATTTTGCAGAGCCAAAATTTTTGAAACATTTTTGATTTCATAAATTAAATAAAAGACATTATAACCTACACTAAATTCCGCTCGTTTCTCTTTGTAAGCGCCTGTCGGCCACATTTATGTTAGCTTGATTGGATACTTTAATTCGATTCTATATAATTCTAGATCAAAATAACGGTAAAGTAGCACGATTTGAAACGCCGCCATGCGACATCTAACTTGAAATTTTAACAAGTTTTTTATACTCATTTCTACCGTATTAAATATTTTCTTATATTTACAACATGACAATCGTTTTGTATCGCGGAGTATTATCTAATTTTTCATAGTCGTGGGGTGGGTATTGTGAAGTCCATTTCACTCATACGCGTACATGTAGGTTGCACATTCAGATTGAGATGGCCACGAAAGTACTTGGAATCTTGGTTTACGGGGATGCAATCGATAGATGTGCTATTTCACCGTAATTTGAATATATCATTTAAATGCCCTAACATATGACAAAATATTTAATTCACGGTCATCACACCGATTTCCATCTATTGTTGAAACCATGAGTCACCTACCCTATCCCGATAATTACGACAGCCACACGCACCTTATTTCTAGTACAAGTACTAGTATATAAACTACGTTCTGCGCTAATTGTGGAGAAAACTTTGGAAGATCAGTGTGGCCACCCTAGCACCCTCAGCAGACGAGACAAGTTTTACTTGTGACATATTACGAATAAAACTGTGGTATGGAGGAAATGATCACGCCCCTCACAACTGTCTGTATGCAGTAATCAATATATCCTGGCATAGACTGGGTTCCCACAGATTTAGATCGGTCCATCTGGATCGACATAACTCCCTGAGGGTTCACGCTAAATTGCTGTCAGCTTCCCGGAGCCGAGCGCGCACAAAAGTTAATTACCCCCTTACAGCTTTTAGCAGGCGGGACAGACATTTAAGCCGGTTAAGCCGACAGCAATCTAGTGAGACTCCCCAGGGGGAGAGATCGATCTAAATATCTGTGGGGATGGTCTCATACATTCTGTAAACCAAATGTAAAGCGTCTTTGAAAGTATGTTAAACACATCGAAAATATGCCTAAATCATTTCAACGCCTACATATCCTGCAATTCAGACCGTAAAACCGATATATCCCCATGAATAAAAAATAGCAGATGTCACTCTATTGCCGTGAACATTCTCGACTATTTTCACACCCGAATCCTCGTTTCCCGTTGTCATCAATCATGTATAGGGGAGACCGGGGCTAGTTGGCCCAGTTAGACACTTTTGGCCTTGTAGAGCCAACTAGGAATGAGTTAGAGTAACAAAACCGGTTTCAAAGTAAGCCTCATCAACTAAGCTACGTATGCAACGTCATTATTTTTCAAATATAATGCCAGATGGCTCACAATTTGACAAAAAACGCAGTTGACGTCAGGGGGTGCCAACTTGCCCCGCCACGGGGCAAGTTGGCCCCCTATACAAAAATGGAGTAAATATCCCACGTAAACGCCTTGCAATACATTTTTATACATTTTTAATTTATTAAATTGACTTTTGAGAGTCTCTGATGAATAAATAGTTCAAATGAGGTAGATTTATTGAGGTTTCCGTACGTCACGTTGTAGGGGGGGGGGGGTATGTGTTGCAAGAAGCAGAATATCTATCGATGAATTTGTTTTATTTTAATAAAGAATTAATTAATAATGGTATAAAACAGGTTTTTAATGAATGAAAACGAATAATAAATTTTCGTTTTAAAAGAAAGTAACATATTCAGTTTTAAACCATTGAGTTTGTTTCAACAATGGCCTCTAGCTGTGTTGCGCGCAAAGGTTTGTGGGTAATATGAGGGTCCAACTTGCCCCGAGTCAAGTGGGCCAACTAGCCCCGGGTGCACACTTTTTATTTTAAAGGATGGCAGCCATTTATGGTGCTAGAATGAGCAACGATGATACGTCTCTGTGAAACTTGAAACATTGAGCTTCAGTTTGTTGCCCTATACATATATTATATTCGATCAAAAGCCTATGAAATAGATTTTTAAATCTCTTTAACAAAATTACTTTTAGGTGCAAAAATACTTTATTTTGACTCACCGCTTAAGTAAAACTTTTTAACGTCCGACACCTCCTTTGCATTGTAGGCTACGGTCACTTTACAAGAGTATGTGGCCAATTTTTTAACTTCGTAGTTACTTTGTCATAAATTGACGGGGGGCCAACTTACCCCGGGGTCCAACTAGCCCCGGTCTCCCCTACATTGACTCTTCTTGAAGACGAATGGGCGGCAATAAAGGTTACAGTTTTATTAAAGTAGCTTGCCGTAAAAATCAGCATAAAAATAATCAATACACTGAAAAAACCTTCCAGTTTCCTCTAATTTTCTCGCTTGAAGGATAAAACTAGAACAATCGATGAAAATGTATATACAACATTGGTCAAAAAGGTTGTCCCACCCCCATTTCCATGTACTTTTATTTACAAATGATCACCTCACAGCTGTGAACTGTTAGAAATAGTGCTTTTTATTACGGATACCGTGTCTAACATGATTAATGGTTAAAAAAATACAAAATAGTGGTGAAAATATACACATTTTATACCATTTAGTAAAATTTATAAGAGGTACCCCCTCAAATCGACTGTTTCACTGTGACTTCTACAGATGTAAAGAAATTGTCTATAAAATTGAAAAGACGCCATCAAATGTCACCAAATTCACACACAATTAGCATTAGGGTGTGCTCGTTAAAAATTACGTGCCTAACAGCGTGTGCGTCTACCGCGTACTGCAATTATCTCCTGTAGACGGCGGCGACAAGCCTTCAACACGGGTTAGCCTATATATGTTTGTACCTGTAGATCACTGTTGCAAAACCCTTGACCTCAAGCCTAAACGGCAAACACATTATTTGACCACTCGCACTGAATAGGAACGAAGGTAAATACCAGCAATTTAGCTGTCAACTGTATTTTTTCTTCGCAAGTGTCAGTTTTTATAGTGGTAACTACCAATGAAAAGATTAAATAGGAGGAATGTGTGCCCACTGAATAATTTGCACTGGTGTACAGTATTGAATATCCCCTGTCGAAAAAGAACATTTAACAAGGTAGATCGGTAGATGATTTTAAGTGCCGCTTGAGGTTCATCCTAGTTTGGATTTGTGGTGTGGTATAGTCTTACTTATACCTCTGTTTAATTCCCCTTTGGAAAATGATATTCAGGGATAGGTCCCTATGGGCGTGCACAGTACTACGACTGCAGCTGTTGTTGAAAGCCCTGAGATAATGATTAAAAAAAAAAGCTTCTAGGTCACTCGCCTAGGTCGTGTTGCGGTGTCTGGGTGTCCCTTTCTGTACTCTGATTAGGTGGGGGACGAAGGCGGTAATATTAAATTGTGGTGTCCTCCCTCGTAGAACAGCTGAATGCTAGACGCCGATTTAGCAGGGGGTCTTTTATCTTTACATGATTTAATGGGCTTTTAATTCTTTTAATTTAATGATTGTATGGAGTTTTTTTATCTTTACATTATTTAATGGACTGTGTTCGTCCGTGAGGGTGGTCGATTCTAATTTTTACATTGCGTTTTCTGCCATCTATCCATTGTATAATACAGCTGGTATAAGTCATTTGAGTTAGGAACGTGAAACGTAGCATGATTTGGGATGTGGAAGGGCACTTTGGATTTTTTTTTTACTTTGGGTGTGATCCTAAGGGCGGTTGTATCTAATATGACATTGTAATTTCTGCTATCTACCTTTAGACAATAAAAGATAGGAACGTAACGTTATGGGGATTGAAAAACGTACCTGTCTTTGGGGATGTGTATATGGATCTTTTTACAACGTAATTTCTGCCATCTACCCTTAGGCCATTAGAATAACGCAATTTTTTCCATGCCTGAAATTAACTATCTGAGTTTTATCCTCATTCAGAGTCAGCTGCCATTTATGAAACCACTTGTACACTACATCAAGCATTGCTTGCAAATCTTTTTCATTTTTTCATTCCCAGCTACCGAAGTACAACATCATCCGGATAAAGAAGATAACAGATCAGATCAGCTCCTACATTAATGCCCTTAACCAGTGCTTTAACACCATGTACCAAATCATTTATATACTATTAGATGTCAAAAAGTAAGGGTGACACCAGACACCCCTCTTTTACTCCAGTATCTGTGTCAAAGAAGCCTGTTGTATAATTATTAGCCCTAACACAACACTTGGGTTTACTATATGAGGCCTGATGGAAATTCATGAAATTTCCGCAAATCCCCAACTTGTTAATTTTGTCGAATGCTTTTTCTTGCATCGATGTAACACGCATATAGGTTTTGATTTTGCTTTAGACCATTTTCTTTAATACTAGACATTATACACATACAGCTGATCCAAACACCCTCGATCTTGTCTAACCATTTTGCTCGTCAACTATTATTTTATTGTCCATAGCCCTTCTGTTTAGTACATGTATAAATGTGTATATCTATATGCTAGATGCTTATGTTATTCCTCTGTATGCTGGTGGATCACATACATGTAGATTAACACAATTACCCTTAGGAATTGGGGTTAATAACTTAAACCAGTCACTAGGCACGACTGAATTAGCAAAGCAGAACCTAAATAAAATATGTAGAAATCTAATAGTCGCCTTTTTTTCAGAACCTTTGTAATCCTTTTCCTGTGTTTGGTGCATTGGAGTTGCCGATAAAGATCTAGTAGGCTGGGTTGAAGATGAAGTTGCTGAAATGCACGATGCGGCCGAGGCAGGGACAGGCTTTGGTCTGGGTGGCTGCACTGCTCTAATTCCTAGGTGTGAGAAAATGTTGCATGGTGCATGTGTCAGCATTTTCAGTCCCTTTGTCTGCACGGATAATACTGGTGCATCCTTTATGTTCATCTACAGTCTCCATAAAATAACCTCTATAGTTCTCGCGCCTTACTAGTCCTTTCTTCTTCAGGATCCTTTTAAGAGTTCTTTTAAGAACTCAGTAACACTTCATGCTTTGCACTAAGACTAGATACAATGTCTTTATATTTGAGTCCAAGATTAAAGTAAAGCGTAATGAGATCGTCTCTACTCATGTCTGCCATTTTGACTGAAGTTGGTTTGTGATTGGCCAATTAACTAGAGCGCTCGAGATAGTAAGTCGAGCGCTCGAGATAAAAAACAAATTTTTGAGTGAGCCCTGCGGGGCTCCGTATATTTGCGCGCGTTAGCGGGTTATGCCGTTGTGCAGTTATTTTGTTGTCCACTGGCCTAAAGATATATATAACCGGTTTACTATATGTCCCGCTTATCCTGTTACTTGGGTCACGACAGGTCATTCTTCGTTATTCTTCAGTCAGTCGTCACTCGTGTGTAAATTTACTGTAAGAATAAAGAAGCTGGTGATCGATTTGCAGTTTAGTCTATGTGTTATTTATACTCAGCTTTAATTGGAGCAGTCGACAGGAATTTGCAGGCTATGGTTCCTACTGATGTCAATGAGATTGACGGTGAAAATCAGTGAAATCTAGCCTAAGAAGAGAAGGTACCTTGGAGGTGGGCGTGGCTGATAAAGAACCCGATCTCACCAGACCTCAACCATGACGTGTACCATTGTTAGCAGACTATATCAACTGTTGTGCCCTCTTGGTTCGCGATTTACCAGAGTGAAACGATGTAATGACTGTTATGGCCAACATTGCCTTTCCAATAGCGATAAGATAATTCAGCCGAGAACCCCGTATATTCGTTCTGTATGCACTCGGGCTGTTCAGAGGCCGACGATTTTCATTTACTGTCGTAGCGCCTGTTAGTTGTGTGAAGATACACATAGTGCTCATTAACCAAATTTAGAGAGACTGTTGACGACATTAGCTCTCTCGTCAAGAATCTTAACACACGTAAGTGCGGAGAGCTATTGTTTGGACGCCCTCTTCTGACGTGTCATCACCCGTTTGCTGTGAGCTACGAATCCGGAGGAGATCGACAAGGACTCGAAAACGGCCTATTGTTTGTTTCGAGACATCGCTATTCGCACTATCACGAATCCGGTGGAGATTGACAAAGACCTGAGAACAGTACTGCTGTTTGTTTTGAGCCATCCTCAGTCGCAAGACCACGAATCCGAATCAACATCCACGAACGGAGACCTGAGAACGGCGCTGGTGTAAATCAAAAACGAGATCAACCGCCGTCAAGGAGGATTCAGTGATATTTTTGACGTATGTAAATGAACATTTGCGAATGGATATTGTTTATTTGACTCATTCACCGTGTAGCGATTTGGGGTGAGTGCAGAAAAATCACCGACCAGACCAGGAATCAAACCCGGGACCCCTCGCTTACAGGGCGAGTGCTCTTACCTACTAAGCTACCCGGCCGGTTCTACCTGCCCCTGGCACTACACTCCTCCCACCCAAATGCCGAAAGACGCGAGCCCTATCTCGCAACACCGCTGCCACCATTGTAGCGATTTGGGGTGAGTGCAGAAAAACCACCGACCAGACCAGGAATCGAACCCGGGACCCCTCGCTTACAGGGCGAGTGCTCTTACCTACTAAGCTACCCGGCCGGTTCTACCTGCCCCTGGCACTACAACCGTTTTCATTAGGTCGTTGGATTAGCGGACAACTATATTTAGTCATTATTTTCAGTGGACAGGGGGTTCTAAGGAGATCCAGCAAACGATAAGTATAAGCAATTTGCTTTTTGCGTAGCTAATTATTGTGATACATGTACCTTCTTGCTGATATTGCCAAGATGTTGCTTTATATGTGCAGCTGATTATTACGCTACACTCTGCCGTTAAATGTGATCATAATCGCGCTGTTTCGCTTGACCGTGATTTTGAGCCATTGCTTGTGCTTCTGTGTGTTACAGTTGCTTATCTTTTTAATTTACAGTTTGTGTAACTTGTTTTACATCATTACCCTAAAATAATGTGTAGCCAGGTGTGTTACCTAATTTCCATGCAACTTTCGAAACAATTAATGTAAGCAGTTGCATGTTCTGTGGTCAGAAATGTGAGGGGTGGTCTTTTCGGCAATTTCTGCCCTTGTATAAAAACGCATGGGTTTGGTTAATCTTTGGAGTGTATTTAGAGAAGCAACAAAGGGATCCCTCTGAAACTTGTCAGGTACCTTAGAGAAGATATGCTTCGACAGCTAAGCAACTCAGCTTTCTATGGGATTCTTGGCCTCAGAGAAAATGGCTAGAAACGGACAGCCATTGCCAGATAATTCAACATTTTTCAGGAACCGTTAGTAAAGTCCTCCAAACAAATGCTACAACAGGGGCACCTACGCCAATACTTCCACCAGGGTGTCCGCGTACCACACAAAGAAGACAGGATCGCCTTCTCCTTAGAGTGCGCCGTGCTGGTCGTACAAAGACAACCAGTGTCCTCAAAAAAGAGTGGCAGAATGCCTTTCAAACGCCCGTTTCAAGGTCCCTTGTAAACAAGAGATTACAGCAAGCCGGTTATTTTGCACGAAGGCCAGTAGGGAAACCACTGTTAACAGCAGGTCATATACAGCGACGTCTGCAATGGGCTGGGGACCACGTGCGTTTGCAGCCAAAACACTGGAATCACGTCGTTTTCAGTGATGAGGCCAGATATGGAATTTGGGGGGTTGAATGTCGAATCCGTGTCCGCCGACGTGTACGAGGGGCATAAAACGATGATTGTGTACTACCTAGGGTGCAAGCAGGGGTGGTAACGTCTCTGTTTGGGGAGCATTCCATGCCGGTGCCCAGAACCAGTTGGTTTTTCTAGGAGGCAACCTCAACCAGGGTTCCTACAGAGACATTCTACAGCAAACAATGCTTCGATTTGTAAGAGTCATCTTCAGGAACAACTTTGTGTACCAAGACGACTGTGCAACCCCACATCGAGCTAGCAGAATCATTGTTTTTCTTCAAAACCAATGGGTTCAGCAACTGCCCTGGCCTGCAAACTCCCCAGTAATGAACCCAATTGAAAATCTGTGGGCGGAAGTAACTCAGAGAATTAATAGCTATGGTCATCGGCCGGTAAATAGTGATGAAGTGCAACAGGCAAATATCACTGCGTGGAATGATATCCCCATCCAAACTCTAAAAAACTTGTCACAGGGTATGGCATATAGGATGAGGGCGCTGCAAGCGGCTGCTGGAGGTCATACCCGCTATTGATGACTTTTCATGATTAACTGTAATGCTTTCTTTGACTGTGTAACATATCACTGTCCGGAGGCTATCATTTTCTTTAATATCTTAGCTTAAAGTTAATACTGACATCAAACTGTTGATATGGTTTTCTGGGGGTGTTCTCTTCTTTTGAATGACATCTTATGTCAGATTTGAGATTATTGACCAAAATATCTCACAATAGAAGACTGGATATTTTCCTCACTCAATGATATACTTATTTGATGAATCAAGCCAAAAAATATTTAATCAGGACTCAAAAATAACAATGATAAAAAATATTCCATATTAAGTAGTAACCCTGTATGTACAAAATTTACGACAGGTAAAAAATGTCAGCCTTTCGGTCTGACAAGTATGAAAATTTTGTCAATCTGAAACAAAAACAAAATTATAGCAAGAGCCCAAATTATTTGATTTTTAAACGTTTTTATGCGTATTTTCATCGTTTTCAGTCACAGACAATTAAAACATTCAAATAAAGTGTTTCCCACACAGTTCATACTTTTCAACTATCTAAGACAGTTAAATATACGTAGGCCTACTTTAATACTAAGCATATTTGTATTACTTTACAAATACGTTGTTGGATTATGTTTATTATCTTTACCATACATGTATTATGTACGTGTAGCTTACAGAAAGGCTTTTCTGCATTTTTTGTAAAAATATGCCCATTGAATTTTCCAATTCTCTTGTCATTGAGTTCAGAAATAAATAATTTTTTATTTCGCCGATAACGTTCTTGAATGTTTTGTAAGTAGAATCCCCGTGTAAAACTTCAAAGCTTTTACTTTCTTTTTCGATAATCTCATGCTTGAAGTCTTTTCTTAATTTTTAGGCCCCGGCCTATTCTTCAATTTTTTCTTCAAATCTTTATAATGTTTTTTTTCTCGCATTTTTTACCCCCGAGTTCTATTTGCCGATAGTTCATTATATACNGCATTATGTACGTGTAGCTTACAGAAAGGCTTTTCTGCATTTTTTGTAAAAAATATGCCCATTGAATTTTCCAATTCTCTTGTCATTGAGTTCAGAAATAAATAACTTTTTATTTCGCCGATACCGCGTTCAACAAGAGCCGATGTACTTTCTTCTTCGTATGTCTCTGTTGATCTTGATAATATGAGCCCCGTTTGTACAAATCAGTAATACGTATACGGGACTGAATACATATAATAAAAATTTGATTAACGTCTCACGTTAAAAAAAAATAGAACTCACCCTGCTAAGGGTTATTAGAGACTAAAACCTGTGATGGGCCTACAACATTTAAAATGATCACTTATCAATAAAACACACACAAAAGGATATTACATACAAAACTTTTCAAACCTTCTCTTTGTTGTTACACAAAAAGTCGTGAAAGTTCTTGAATTTTTTGTAAGTAGAATCCCCGTGTAAAACTTTAAAGCTTTTACTTTCTTTTCCATAATCTCATGCTTGAAGTCTTTTCTTAATTTTTAGGCCCCGGCCTATTCTTCAATTTTTTCTTCAAATCTTTATAATGTTTTTTTTCTCGCATTTTTTACCCCCGAGTTCTATTTACCGACAGTTCGTTATATCCGTTGTTTAACTAAGCATTTCTGTTTTTTATTAAAGCACCGTTGATCTCCTAATATTATAGTTTTTCTTCCCGCCTTAGAAATGTTCAGCGCAAACGCGGTGCCCTGCTTTTGATCCAAACTTGCTATATTTTTCTTTCTTTCTACCATATTTTTCATTCTAACGGGTTTGTTGGGAACTTATTAAACCTCATGTGTCGATCTCGCTTACTGTTATTGTAGTGACAAAAAGCCCGTAAACCCAGCCATGGTTTTAAGCACCGCTGTAAGTGTTTCGACGTTGTAGGGCTCCCCTACCCACAATGCAATTTCCATTTCCGGAAAAGATGAAAAAGGCTAATTGCACAATTTTTTGGCTTAGCCGCCTCACTATACCATACTTCACATTTTGCTTTCACCACCAATATGTACTTTTTGATAGCGTAACTCGAAAACCGTTTGGAATACAAAGAAACGGAGACCACTTCCAGTGTTGGGCTTTACATGCTCTACAAAATGCAAAAAAGAATGGGTCTCTAGCATTAACGGTCCCCGAATTAGAGACAGTTTTCAGTTTCGGTATCTTATGGCCGCTACTCCCGTGAAAATGCACCGATTGACCCCAAATTCACGGAGATGAAAGATGACCTGAAGGGTAACACTTTCCAATAATATTATTGGTTAAGTCTGTGTGGTGTCTGAATAACAGGGAAAAAAAAATTTTTTTCATAAAATTTTTTTTGAAAATTTTGGCCCGTTTGACCTTGAAGTAAAGGTCAAAGGTCAAATCCAAGGGCATATTTGAAATCTACACAAATGACTTTTGGAAAGCCGTCTGTAGAAATTTTTCCCATAACCCCTTCCGTAGGGTAGATAATAAGCATTTAATTTTGCCATTTTTGGACAAGGGTGCATTGCAATGAGTGCCACACCCAGACCCCAATACCGACAAAGCCCAAATTTTACGTGGAACGAGTTGAGATTATAGGTGACCTAAATCCAAGAGATGGGTACCGTCTAGGAGGAGAAGCGGTAACGGTAGCCGTCCGGCGGAGCCGGCGGAACGATCCGAACGGGACCGAAACCATGTGTACTGCTAGCGCTAACGCTGGTGGTACAATGAAGGAAGAGAACACTTACAGGACATGCTGAAACTGGGGGTTATTAGAAGGTCTGAAAGCCTATATTCATCTGGTGTAGTGCTAGTAAGAAAAAAAAGACGGAGCTCTGCAGTTTTGTATTGACCTAAGAAAACTCGATTCCAAAACCATCAAAGATTCTTATGCTTTGCCTCGAATTGATGAGAGTTTGGACATCCTTCATGGTTCTTGGTTCAGTGTGTTAGGCTTAAAATCTGCTTACTGGCAAGTTGAAATAGAGGAATCAGATATTTTTTCTGTTATGAATCTTGGTTTATTTGAGTGTACAAGCATGCCTTATGCTAGCAGACTACTATATGGAACTGAATCTCGTTATTCAGCACACAAACTCGAATTTCTGGCTCTCAAGTGGTCTATCACGGACAAATTTCATGATTATCTCTATGGGAATGAGTTCACTGTTTACACAGACAATAACCCTCTCACTTACCTCTTGACAAGTGCAAAATTAGATGCGATGGGGCATCGTTGGGTTTCTCAGTTGTCAATTTTTCTATCATGTATAGATCTGGAAAATCTAATGTTGATGCTGATTCTCTTTCTAGGATCGAGTGGCCTGAAGCTAGCAAAGAAATCTTGTCTCGAAGTGTTCATGGCGTTTTCAGATGGGTCTTGTGGAAGATACGTCTTTGATAGATGCACATTGTGTTTCAGGTGAGCAAAATTCTGAACAAATGCAG